TATATATAACTTTAAAGAGTATATATGTTCATCCACTGTTTAAAAAAAATATTGCAGTTTGTTCAGTGGATAATAACTTCTTTCAGATCATTAACTTACTTTTATGCACATCTAGCATGAAGCCATGAAAATGGACCCGTTTTTTCCTCTTCATTTCCACATAAGCATAAAATATATCCATTACCATTGTTTTCCCTGTACCTTAAAAATAAAAATAACAAGTGAATAATGTTATTAGATAGCATATACTGAGTGCTCTAATGACCGTCATTAGTTTTGAGACAATGAAACACATTCTTATTGGAAAACCGAAGCCTATATTACTTCTTTAGAAGAGGCTGTTTACTCTGTATGCTGAACTGGCTAGCCAGCCCCTATAGTGTGAGACCTAATAGCTTCCACAGATGAAACCCTAGCTACTGTGGAGGCTGAGGCAGGAGGATCACAAGGTCAAGGTCAGTCTGGGCAACTTAGTGAGACCCTGTCTAAATAAAATAATAAATAAATAAGACAAAAAGGCTGGGGATATAGCCCAGCTTACTGTGGATTCAATCCTTAATACCAAAAGAAAAAAGAATTGATTTTTTAAAATATTGAGTTTAGGGGCCAGTAAGATAGCTCAGTGGTCTAAAGTGCCTGTGTAGGCAAGCTTAGGCAGGCGCAGGCGACTGTGGTTCGATCTCAGGCACCACATACTGTGCCAGCCCCACCCTCAGGGTGGGCTGAGTAAGCCAAATATATATATATATTTAATTTAGGGTATGGCTTCACTCTTGGTTAATAAAGCCTGACAAATAAAATAAATTAAAAATAAAATAAAATACTGATATTACCCTTTATGGTTACAATCCTGTTTTTTAGGAAATACATACAATATTCAGTTAACATTACAGGGGCTAATTTCCCAAGATATAATATCCACTCCTATATTTATAAATTGACAAAATTTAAAAGTTATTCTTCAATCTTCTCTTCCAAAAGAGAGTACTATAAATATAATAATGGATTAGTCAATTAATTATTGGGCCACTAGGAACTATTTTAGAAACCATAGAAAAATCCAAAAATGAAAAATAAGAGATGAGAAAAAAATAATATCAAATGAAAATACTGAACATGAATTAAACAGATAGGTGAGAGCTGGGGAATGGTCTGTAACATTTTCAAAAGATGAGAATATGAGTTTTCAAAATGAGGCCCTCTAGAATTGTGGTATAGTTAATCATAATTAAATGATCTAGTTTTCAACCCTCTAAAACTTTTATCACTATAATCACATTAGTCATTGAACACAGTGGGGCCCAGAGAGCCTTACTTGGGAGGGAAACCCAGGGCTCAGGGACAGAGGCAGTGCCAGCCAGCTGGCGCCAGAACCTCAGGCAGGCACCTGCCCCCTCTTCATCTCCACCCTACCCACCCCACAAGCTCTCTGGTCAAAAGCTGCAATCGCCACAAATGCAAGATCTGAGTCTCCACCTCTGGGAGGTCCTGTCCTCCACCACAGGAGAGATGGGCCCAATGTAAGGCCCGGGGCAGAATACCCAGCACAAAACTCCAAAATTTATTTTTCTATATGTAGGACAAGGCTTTACAAAATAAAAGGATTTAAACTATACAGAATAGATTCATTGACCAGAATAAATTAGGAATCAAACAGATATTTAGAAAATTACCCCAGATTTGGAAATTAAGTAACATGCATCTGAATAACTCTTAGGGTAACTACAAAATTATGGAAAAATTTGTTAAACTTTGAAAATTTGAAAATTAAAATGCAACATATCAATTTTGATTAATACCACCACAGCAGCACTTGGATGTAAATTTGTACTTTAAATGCTTATATTAAAAACAAACTTTAAAGTCATCTAAATTTCTACTTTAATGAGCTAAAAAAAAGTCATCAAATAAAAGCAAAAGTATGAAAAACGGAATAATAAAGAACAGAAATTATAAATCAGAAATGAAACAGCACAAAATTTAGTAAAACCAGAAGCCAACTGTTTCAAAACAAAAAATAATAACTGATTAAAACCCTAGTTGATCTAACTAAGAAAAAAGAGACGATGCACAAATTATCAGTATCAGGAATGAAAGAGCAGAATCACTATAGCTTCTAGAGATATTAAAAGGACAATAATGGAGGTCAGGAATAGAGCGCATCACTATACAGCGGCCCAGTGCCTGCCTGGAAGCACAAGGTCCTGAGTTTGATTCCCACTACAAAAAAAAAAAAAAGTAGTAAGAAAAAAAAGAAAATTAAAAGGTAATAATGAATTATAATCAACTGGAGCTCCAGAGCACAGTTAGCATACAGTACTTATATAATAAATTATAAACAACATTCTGTCAATAAATCCAGCTTAGATAAGAGATAAATTTCTTAAAAGTAGAAATGATCAAAAATAGCATAAAAAAGAAAAAAATAAATTTAAGTTACTACATTTATTAAAGAAATTAAATTATGAGTAATAACTTTCCCACTAAAAACATTTCAGGTTAAAATAGCTTCACTATAAAAAAAACTAGTCAGATATATTGGGACTAAAGAGCACTAATCTTACACAAACGCCTCAGAAAATAGAGGAAGAAGGAATATGCCCTGATTCATTGCATGAGAACAGCAAGTGACATAAAGGATAATATATCATTATCAAATGAGAGGTTTATATCAGAAATATAATAATGGTTTATTAAAAATCAATCAATACCATTTACCATATTAAGAAAATAAAGGGCCCAGGCATGGTCCCATATGCCTGTGATTCCAGCACTCTAGAAGGCTGAAACAGGAGGATCACAAACTGAAGCCCATCTTGGGAACTGTGTGACTTAGAGAAATCCTGTTCCTAAATTAATAATAATAATAATAACAATAACAATAATAATAAAAGGGTTGGGAGTGTCACCCCATATGAAGGCTTTGAATTCAACCCCAGACTTGTAAAAAATAAAAAATAAAAATAAAATTAGAGTCAGCAAGATACAAAAAAAAAGAAAAAAGAAAACTATTACCATCATAACATTTGAAAAAAAAAATTGCAAATTTGAGCACCCAGCAAAGATTTGGGCTCTGTTACAGCTGTGTCTAGGTGTCCCCCACATAGCCTCAGGCAGTCATAGGTGGGGCTTTTCTATGGGTGGCTGAATCTAGAGTGTGTAACTGATTTATGGTACAATGCTGGGATTAAGGGTGCTAAGATTAACGGTGGGTGACTACTAAATCAGGCCACTGAGTGGTTTGGTATTGCCATAATCCTGGTAGCCTCAATGCAACACAAGGACAGAAAGAGGCCGGTCTTGTCCCTTCCTTGCTCGCTCCTGCTGTCTTCTGCTTGTTCTCTTCTGTGTTGCCCTCTGCCAGGAAACCCCACCTTGGAACAAGCTGATTATGGATGAAACTTCTATAAACTGGGAGCTAAATAAACCTTTCTTCCTTGAACTTTAGGTGGTGGGTATTTGGTATCAGCCACGAGAAAAAAGTAATCAAGATTCTGATTTGGACAGTACCACAGAACTGTGGACACCAGGAGAATTTTACTGTTTTGTTTTCCTTTTTCTATCTGGTTGTTGTTTTTTTTTTTTAATCTTTTTTTTCAGTTGCTTAGGTTTTTAGTTTTATTGCTTGTTTTGTTTTGTCTTTCTGTTCTCTCTTTCCTCAATTGTTTTTCTTTATTTTTTGATTTTCCTATGAGTGAACACTGTCTCTAATCTTTTGGGTTCACTCTGATATTCTTTTGTTCACTCTTTCATTCTTTTTCTCCTGTCCTCTTCTCCAGTTTCCAAAGCTTGGGTGATCATCTTTTCTCCTTAGGCTTTTCTTCTACTATATTTCTCTTCACTTATCTCTATTTTTCCTCTATTCTTCTTAAATTCTCTCCTATCCCCAGAGTACAATCACTATACTAAGGGGAAAATCATTGCATACAAGTTCCTGGTTTATATTGGATTTTGTTATATAATTGTAAATCTTTCTCCTATGGTTAAAAGTGCCAAATTAATGGTTATCACAGTTTGTCAGTTTCTAGGCTATATTTGATGTTACTGTTATTGCTAACTGTACTACACTAGCCAGGGTGTTGTAATTAGTTGTTCTTCTTTGTAAGACAATGCTGTGATCAGCTGAGGCCATCATCATCACCACAGTCCAATACCAAAGGACTGGGTGCTGGATCGAATGTATGAGAACTTTCCTCCCTAACAAATTGGTAAGGTAGGATCTTGGGACAGACACGAAGGCCAAGAATCAACTACACCTAGAACACATCTGTGAGGTACAGATATTTCCTAGGGAAGACTCCATATTAATGATAAAGCTACCTGCCACAAGCAATTTACAAGTATCAACACAGGGAACAAATTAGAATTTCAAAAAAATGGAATGATATAAGGAAGCAGAAGAAAATGCAACCCCAGACCTCCAGCCAACCCAATACAAGGACAGGGGACAACAACAGAGAAAACCAGAAGTCAACCACCTGAGTTTTCCAAAACAGTAGCAGCAGAAGTAAAAGAACAGATAAATGAGGCTCTCAAGAAAATCAGACCAGAAATAATCTTTTGGGTTAAAAAAGAGATGATGACCATAATGAAAGACTTGCTCAGTAAATCTAGAGTAGATGACAAAATAGAGGAGCTGAGGAAAAGATGAAAAATCATGAATGCCCAACATAGCAAAGAAATGGAATCCATGAAACAGATTCAAACAAATATCCAAGAGATTTAACATTCCATTGAAAGTATACCTAGCCAAATGAACCAAGATAAGAACAGAATGTCAGATCAAAACGACTGGATTCTGATAAGAGAGGAAAAAGGCAGGATGGATGGACGGAAGGAAGGAAGGAAGGAAGGAAGGAAGGAAGGAAGGAAGGAAGGAAGGAAGGAAGGAGGAGGGGAGGAGAGGAAGAAGGAGGAGAAAATCAATAGGCATCATGTGTAAGAGAGTAAAACCATCTTCAGGGACATGTGTATGCATATGTCAGGATGTAAAATGTATTTCTTATGATGGGTCATGTTGAAAAAGGCCATTGCTCCAGCTCATAAGCTTTGAGTGAGTGCTTTTAGCCACCATTATATCTCCAGAAGGAACACGCTGCCTGGCACAAGGCAGATGCTCAATAAACATTTGTTAGGTGGTCACTAGGTCAGGTGACCTTGAGAAAAGCTAAAGAAACCAACACCAAATTTACAGTTTGTTT